TAGTGATAGTCGCTTAGAAGTAAGTATATTCCCCCCAGTAATTTACAGCACATGCCCAGAGGACTGGTGACATAATCCTCACGTTTCTTGCCTCCACAACTTACTTGTTCGGCTTGCCCACCCTCGCCAACATCAACCTCGTCGCTCAACCCATCGCATGTCTCGCTGGATGGCTGGCTTGGTTGTTTACGCGAGCTGAATGAGCCAATTTCCTGCTGTTTATATTGTCGATTTGATAGTACAAATTTGGGGAGAGGGTGCAATCGAATCGCGCCGACCAAACAACCGATCCACAATCGATCTGATTGGTTGTTGAATTTCATTGAAGAGGTTTTGATTGGTTAATAATTTTGAGCTCATCTGAAGTAGCCAATCAAATCGATTTAAATACCAACGCCACAACACAATGAAATTTCACTCGAAAGCACAGCACAAAATACAACTCACAATTCAGGAGTTGATACCCTAATATTGTGAATTACTACGTAGTATTCGCTAGAAACTTCGAATCAATATATCACACTGGAGTTGTTCTGATTGGTTGAATATACTTGTCCTTTCGTCAAGAGCCAATCAAATATACCCACTCAAAAATGGATTAGCCAATACTATTGTTAATTGGGGTAGCGTCGGGTATTTTAATACCCGACGCTATGAATCACTATTAAAATAGTGATTCGTATCGAATCCACAATAAAAAACACAGCATATATTTTGGGATTTGATAGCACTAATCCGGATACTGGTGACTATTTCCGGATATGGTTGCCCGCTTTGCGCGTGTTTGATTGGTGGATGGAACATCGATTCCACTTCTCACCATGAGCACAGCACCGGTTGAAGAGGTCCACCTGCAACCGTCGCCGTCCGACGGCATTAGCTGCGTCCGATTCAGCCCTGACGCCTCAGACTGGCTTCTAGCAAGCTCATGGGACAAGAGTCTGAGGCTCTACGACGTCCCCAGCAACCGCTTGCGCTTGAAAGTGGACGTGGACCATGCTCTCCTTGCGTGCTCATTTGGAGCGACTCGGACGCAAGCATTCAGTGGGGGGGTGGGAGGCCTTGTGGGCTACCACGACTTGGAAGTGGCAAACAGTACGACAAAGTTGGGGGCACATGACAAAGCCGCGGCGCACATTCGATACAGCGCCGCGACGGGGCAAGTGTTTTCAGGCTCTTGGGATGGCACCGTGTCTGCATGGGATCCTCGATCCACCACCCAAACGACGCATTTGAAGCAATCGGGAAAGGTGTATGCCATGTCGACGAAAGAAAACCTGCTCGTGGTTGGGCTCTCGACCAAGCGGATTTCTCTGTACGACATTCGTCGGGCAAGTGTGCCCATCCAAGACATTGACTCCCCACTCAAGTACCAAATTCGATGCATCGAGCTGTTCCCTGATGCTCAAGGTACATATTTGAACCAGGAGCAGCTTCATTGTGATGGGATATGTGTTGTCCTTAGGGTATGCGATTGGATCGACCGAAGGCCGCGTAGCGCTGGAGTACGTGGATGCCGCGCGCAAAGGGTACGCGTTCAAGTGTCATCGCGAGAAGATCTCGGAAAGCGAAACGTACGTCTTCCCCATCAACGCCATTGCGTTCCACCCGCGATTTGGCACGTTCGCCACGGGTGGGTGCGACGGCATGATCAACGTCTGGGACGGCGAGAACAAGAAACGCATCAACCAGTTTTTGCAACACCAAACGGCCAGATACCCCACAAGGTAATAACCAACACCATCGTGTGTGTTATTTTAAAATCAAACGAAATGTGATATATATATATTATTATTGTAGCATTGCATCGATGGATTTCAACCACGACGGGTCGCGGTTGGCGATTGCGTCGTCGTACACGTTTGAAGAAGGCGAAAAAGAGTACGTACCTAAAGATAGATGATTTACTCATGTGGTTGACCTAGCCATCCCGACGACTCTATCTTTGTGCGGTCGGTGCACGAGTCTGAAGTTCGCCCAAAGAAGAAGGCTCCTTAATTGCGTCTGGAAACTGACCTTATCCTCCATGTTGTTTCTACCGCCCAAGGTTTCACCAGATCATTTTGAATTCGTGAAGGAAACTGCATATATTGTCGATTTGATACAAATTTGATACTAAGGGTGCAATCGAATCGCGCCAACCAAACAACCGATCCACAATCGATCTGATTGGTTGTTGAATTTCATTGAAGAGGTTTTGATTGGTTAATAATTTTGAGCTCATCTGAAGTAGCCAATCAAATCGATTTAAATACCAACGCCACAACACAATGAAATTTCACTCGAAAGCACAATAACGTAAAAAATCAGTTCAAGATACTAATATTTTTGGAGGTGTCGGAGTAGAGTGCACATAACGTTTGACATGTGAGTCCGATACTTGTCTAGTTCTGAGAAGTGATTCCAATAGAAGACAAGACGCCCCGCTTTCTCTACATGATCAAATTATAAGTTTATATGTACTGTATGAGCTCTCCACCACCGCGCCCACGAGAACCTTTACAGGGATAAAGTTGTCACGAAGGATTTCTACTGACATTGTTTTGATAACCAATTTAGGGTAACTATTTTTATCTCGAAGTATGTATTTGTAAAAGCATTGAAATTCAGTCTTTAGGGTAAGCGGTTACAACAGGTTCAAAATAATGTTACTACTCTGGTCCATAATGATAGTCCCTATATTTTATCTTATTTAAAGTATGGTGCCGTGGCTGAAAACATCTTGATGTTTGTAAGGACCTTTCAGATTACATATTCACTCTCAAAAATATAATGACATTTTATTATATTGTGATATTGTACTTTTCCAGGGAATTCGAAATCATTTAGTCAAGGAGATTGCATGAACTTATCACTAATTGCCGTGAATTCAAGGATCTCCATAATT